GAAGAAAGACAAAGACTAAACTGTCAAAGCCTAAACTGGGAGGAAACTAGAAACAAGTATAAAGAAACTAAAAACATGAGACATAGGAAATGCAGCGGTTGCAGAAGATCTGGCAACAAGCAGAGGATGACATGGGTTTATATACGCACAGGGAGAACTAGGAAATGAGACACAGGAGGAGAGCACTGGGAGAAATCACATACAATGAGACTAGGTGAAGCAAAACTGAAAACACTAACATAGCACAAGACTGTCAAAATAAAGCAGGAAACATGAGACAGACTTGACACTGAAACCAGGAGAAGCACAGACATAAAATGATAACTAGATGAGACGTGACACAAGGAACACAGGGGAAGCACAGACATAAAATGATAACTAGATGAGACGTGACACAAGGAACACAGGGGAAGCACAGAGACAGAAATCAAGAAATGGAGTGATGAATCCAATTAAGAACTTTTTTGGATCAAATCTTCATCAATATATATAAAAGTACAATGAGGTACAATAGTGAATGTCTACAGCCATCTGTAAAACATGGAGGCTTTGTCATGGTTTGGTACATATCAGACAGTAATGTTGGAGATCTTGTCAAAATTGATGATAAGAATGGATAAAAGTACCATCAGAGTTTGCATAACTGAACAGAAAACACACAGTGGAGCACTGTCAGTCATGGATTAGCCTCCCCAGAAGCAAGACCTTAACATTACTGAAGTAGTGTGGGATCATCTTTACTGAGAATGGAATAAAAGGCAGCAGGCATCCAAAGAAGAGCTTTGAATGTCCTTCAACAAGCCTAAAGACCACTTAAAGAAATTACAAGAAAGCTTACCTTAGTGTCCAGTCTGTGTTGAAGAATAAAGGGGTTCAAGCCAAATGCTGACTTTCAAGCTGATTAGAATTGTGCAAACTCTGCTGTTGCCTTACATACTGAATTCCCATTTTTCAAAAAAAATCACTGCAACTATTTTCCAGTTTCCTCACAAATAATAAAGAAATGACCAATGGTTCAACTGTCTTCCACAGTACTGCATGAGCCTGCACTTACATCTTCACTTCAGAGCTTTGCTGGAGCAAAGTGCTCTAATGGGGTGATACAGTACTATAAGGTCATTAAAATAAGATGGGGCCTGAT